TAATCAGGGTACATAGGCCTGATATTGCTGTGTTGACTTTCAACCAGCCAGTCAGCTGTTAGAGAAAAGAACATCAGCCGACCCAAAGGACCTGAATCAACGTTCCTCCAAGCTATTTGCTGCATATTGATCCGAAGACGGGAGGATTTGAGATGACACGAAGATGGCGTAAGTTGGAAAGTATTAGTAGACAAGTATTGTCTACAGCGCGCACGTACAAACATGACATCGCAGTACTTTACGTGAATAGGATCAGGAGATTTGCGTTTTGTATATAATTTATAAGCATGCTGTGTGATTATAGATACTACTTGTATGACTTTTGTTACAAAAAGTTAGCGGGTGCGCGCTTAACAGGAAAAAATCGCCTTACGCCAAATGTTATGATATTTTGGTTTCCGTCCTGAAATGAAGCCCAGTGCGTTTTTTTTAAGTTCGGGATGTGAGATCTGCTATCTTCAGTTTTACTTGATGTTGGAACCTTTGAAAAAAGCTACTTTTTGCGCATAGTAGGATTTTACACGACGTTGTAACGCAAGTGCGTTTCGGCACTTTTATTTATATAGGATGCATCAATGAATTTCCTATTGATTTTTTTAGCGTGTATATGTACATAAATCGGCTAGGTGTATAAAACTCATAACTACTTTTACGAATCAACTTGTGCTACACTTTTTTGTTTGTGCTACACAAATATTGGCCGCTTCTGACCAGTCAGACCCAGTTAACCCAGACGAACTAATCACTGCCTGAAACGTTAAAAGTAGAGTCTTGGAGCTTGACGAATGGGCAGCACACATTGGCGTTCTCGAAGCCTTTCACGTTTGGCTAGGACAAATGTGCCGCCGAGCGGTCCTTCCTACTCCCTATTTTGGATTGGAGGACAGCAAGAGGCAGTTAATGTCAAGCCCTCTTAAAGAATGCATAAACAGCTTGGCAAGACCAAATCACAAGCTTAGCAAAATCATCCCCGACTAGACTGCTGTTCAGAGCTATTCGAGATGGCCTGTGCAGGCGTATGCTATGACTATGATGCTATAATCCGGTATTTGCATTCGAGTAGGGCCGTTACTGCATTAGCCCCGCTGAGAGACTCTTAACGCTCACATCATTGTTTCGCTATGATAAGGTCAATCGTTCTGTCGTTCCAACATGTGTCACTTTGCGTGTGTGTATGGGATTTTTGGGGTGTCACACATGTACATCCACAAGGCGTTCTTGGCTGGCCTAATATTATGATGGGATTTATAGAAAGATGTGAATCTGGAGCATATATATTATTAGCCAGGTTTACTAAAAGCACTTGGTAGACCATTTCAGTTGGGGACTAGAATTTTGCAAGAAACGCTTGACTGATAATTGGAAACTAACAGCCCCAAATAGCTGAGAGAAAAAGATGAGTCGCTTTGTGTTCCGGCGTATTTAACATACAAGTAGGAATCGAAAAAAATGCAAAGAAACTTACATAATGTTGTGGTTAGTTAAAGTTTTATCCTTTTCATATAGATTTCATGATGCACAGAGCTGCGGTGTTCAGCGATATTAACTTAGGATGCTTAGCGAGAAATAATGGACACCATGACCATGAAAGATTAGTGTTCCAGCGCGTTTTTAGGCAATTTCTTACTGCAACAGGTACTGCCAAAAGGTCGATTGCCCGTGCTCGAAATGACCGCCTTGTCCGATACCATGTTGTTGTTAGCCCTTAAGGTCAGGAACAACAATGCATTTTTTTCCACACCTATCGGTCCATCTGTACAACACTAAGGTAGATGAATTCCTCCACATACAGCCACCATCTTTTTGTACTCTCAATTTTAGGGTCAATAAATTCGATCTGATAATACGAGAAATCGATGTGTTTGATATGGTGTCGCCTATGATACGCCGAGTTACCCCCAATGATATAACCAGTCTAAAAAAACTCATCAAACATTTTAAAAAATACGTAGTCTGCATATAAGTTCACCCTTCAATGAATTTCGCTGCTACAAACGCTGTTAGGTGGGTAATATGAGCGAAAGCCACTGTGACGTTATGGAGTTTACATTAGATTACTACCTACTTCTGACTCTGTACAAGCCCAACAATGGTTAGCCAGCTTTTATCCGATGCTTTACCGATTATTGTTCGAAGTCGAATGAAGTATCGAGATGCCAAATATTTTCATTGCGGTGGTCTAGGTTCCAGCCAAAACCACAATGGAGTCCTTCAACACTGTTTCGTTATTGACGTCTGGCTATAGATGCGGGTTCATAGATCTCGATTCCCATTCTATGTGACGATAGTCTTTCAACATCAGTCTATCTGGTGTTGAGCAACAACACAGATATAGTAAGAGAGAGACTAGAGATTTGTGGATCCGACAATTCGGATAGCGCCCGTATCATCATCGCTGCGTACCGTTTTTGATCAGATGCAATGAGGCAGGGCGGCTGCAGGAAAGGTAAATGGCAGTGGTGTCATGATCTTCAGCGTACCGGTCCTCTCGTCTTTCTCCGCTCTACCTTCAAAGGGAGAAGGTATTTGTTGCGGAAAATGTCTTTCTGTATCACCGCTCTGTCATCCTGGGCTCTTGTTCGCACTGACTACGACAATGCCAGTGAAGTACCGCAGCTGGTTTCTGATGCGCCCACTGTGCGCCCACTGCTGAGTTGGCGGATCTTCTCTTGTAGGTTCCTCGCGTTGTTCCCGTTCTAGCACTAGATACCTCTGAAGCTTACACTCTTCTCTAATGACGGTTACTGGCACACCCAGCAAAAGGTTGCCAAAACGCCACACGCTAGGACAGCCGATGCCGGGACATTGAACTAATTATAGGGTGAGCTGAAGTGGAAGGAAAGGACCAACTGGCGGAGGGAAAACGAGAAGCGGTGGGGATACGGGAGTGGGAGGAGGCGGAGCAACGTCAACGAAACACGTTCACACCCAGCAGACTGGCGAGAGACTGATGCCGCCTGGGGATTTTGGGTCTTCCTATCTCCCTCCATCTTTCACTGTCGGCATCGACTGATGATTACATCATGCATTGACTATTTCCTTCGATAAAACTCGTGACGTACGTTTATCAGAGAACACAAGAAAGTAGCAGAGCCATAATATCCTAGTTTGTATATAAACTGTAGTAGGGAGAAAACTGCTGGAATCTTAATGGCTGCCGGTAATTATGTGTATGTTATATTTGGAGCATTTTCTGCGCGTATTGTGACTGCTTATTATATGTCTATATCTCTTGTATTAAGAAGCGGAGGAAGCATATTTTAGCAAATTGCACTGCAATATTCTCCATTTTGCTTGTTGAAGATTGGTCGTCTTTCTACGGTATTACGCATGCGCAGACCGCTCATTGACATACTTTACCTTGAAACGTTTGCGACGATTTTTTTCGATACTCAGATAGCAGACCGAGAGGAAAGAAGAAGCAAAGACTATTTCGGACGACTGGACAGACATGCAAGCTTAATGCAAACTAGACTTATACCTGAGCAATGTCAAATCGAAGGCCGCTAACTTGAATGGTGAGCCAAGATGTAGTAAGCAGCACGGCTGTAACTTTTTCATAGCTTTACTATGCCTTCGTTTCTTTACTCACAAGAACAGGAAAGCGGGGACTTTTCTACAAGACTTAGGAGAAATCTACAAGACGTGCTTACCTCGCCTTTCTTGTGGGGATATGCGGCGCTGTCAAGAACATTATTCCATCGATGTATCTGAATTTCACCCACCACTCAGCGTTCCCTTGCCAGCACCAACAGGAAGCTTGCTTCTTTTATCCACGATCCTATTGCTTACACAAGCCCAGGAGGGTCAACGTTACCGAATTTCGCTGTGAGCATGGATGAGCGAACCGTCGTCCCTCAAGGAATCATTTGCGGACGGCGATTTCAGGCTATACGGCGTGCCCGACGTCCAAGACGGGCCATCTAGGTCCGCTGCGACATTACTGAAACTATAGAGTTAGTCATCGTTGAAAATTGGGTTTTCTTCCGCGCTTTTTACGCTAATGCTGCTGCCCAGGTTGTAGTAAAAACGAACGAGGTATGATGTGTAAACCGGCTCATCGTTAGTATTGAGATAGTGAGCTTAGAAGGTCGAAGACGTTGATAAATCCCCTCGCACACCCCTATTTACTTAGGTTCCCTAAAAAAGGTGCCGCTTCGTCCCGACCTCTTTGGCCGTATCGCTATATTATATCATTATCCTTTTGAATTTGTTTCTTTTCTGCATAGGAGAGGGTGAGACGACGCAATAAGTTAATGATATCGTTTATTTAGCTATGGACTAGAGAGAAAAAATTTCCCTTTTCTTTCTCAAGTCATCACCAAGCGTTTCAGAAAAAGTGCATGTGAAAAGCTGTGCTCCGCCTTTGCCAGGAGTCAATTTGATTCCAAATGGCGGAGAAGCTTTATTTATACCCCTTAAATATGCTTCTTTTGCCTTTTATAATAGCAGACGACCAATCGACGTAGACTTTATTTCACCAAAACGAGGTAGACCTCTCCTCAGCAAAAGAGCTTTTGCTGGAGTGCGCAACTAAAATTTATGCATGTGACGTCTAAATAGCATACAAAAATTGCAGTAATTATAAAACAATACGGAAGATTAATTAACACGCTACAGGTGGTATGCCCGTGAAACAGTGTAATATATATATGTATATATATACGTTAAGGCACAATCGTTCATTTACACTCTGTTTGACCTACCAGAATCATAGGTAGCTAATTTTCGGCCCCCCGTTTCACATATATTTTTTTCTTAGCTAGCGCAAAATTGTTAGAAATATATGTTTTTCCTAGTGTATCTAAAGTGATCAGTACAACTTCTTTGTTCTATGGAAACCATAATTAAAGCTGCCGTTCAACACACATTCAGGATTATACATATTACTCACGTATATTATAGCGGCATTATAGCCGTAACGTTATCTCATACATTTAAGTACCACGGTTATGTATATGCAATAAAAGATAATTATCTTTTCTCTCAACACTCCCCAGAACCTCGGATAGTGGAGGGTCCACGCAACACGACGGCTCTCCAAGGTCATCGAGTGTGGCTTCACTGTGTAGTTTCAACAGTTTCCGCGGCAACAACGGCATCACTCCCGTTGACATCACCATTACCAATACTCACCTCGACGATTTCACCGGCAGCTGTAACAAATTCCGTGACGTATGTGACCACCACGCCAGCCAAGCTGAACAACACTGTTCGAACTCCCGTATTATCGAGTACCACACCAATAAACTCTAGCATATCTGCGCACCCCATTGATGCCTCCAGACATGCTCCAACATTTGATCCCCCTGAGCGTGAGGAGACTCGCGTCACATGGCAACGCGATGGCCGAAGTCTTCATACGACGATTGAGGGTAGCGCGTGGACAGTTTTAGCTAACGGGAGTTTACGTCTCAATTCGGTAGACCACGTCGATGCCGGGCCGTATCGTTGCATCGCAAGGAATAGAAATGGAGTAGCTTTTAGCCAGCCAGCGTATCTGGCCGTTCACAGTGAGTACAAGAGCAGTATACAGAGTGTAGATATTACTAATTGATGTCAACCAATAATGTCTCTATTCACCTCAAAGTTATTTGCGACAAAGTGTCCTATGATATAGATGAACATTTCTTTAAATTCCAGTAAATAAGTCAAGGATGGCATTGTTTCAAAGTTCAATTTCCAATTGCAGAATGTAAGGACTACAGAATTCTTGATTAGGAGTAACTGTCGAGCAAACCTGGGCCTTTGAAAGTTTGTGAGAGGAATTATTGACATATTATATTAGAACATGTGGTCAATTAACGGAGGTTATAATTTTTTTAAAAGTTAAGGGCTTTCAGGTTGCAAGTTTAAAACGCTAACCTAAGTTATGTGATGAATATTTAGAGACGAACGTCGGCAACGATTATAATAAGCTTGACACCATTTTTTATCCGTAGTTTAGCAATCGTGATTAGGACATTTGGAAACAACCAACGAACGCTACAGATACGCTAAAGTGCCTTATTGATATTTGGCATAACATTCTATTTCAGTAGACTTAAGATAGCAAGATCCGATAACAACAATATATGGGCCTACGTAACTACTGCGTTTTGTCCCAGTTCACTTATGATGGCGTAACATATAATTAGAACTCGTGTCAGATTTTTGCTATGATCATGTCCTAAGTACAAACATAATTATAATAGGATTATTACGATAGGAAGGTTAACGACCCCGCTGAGGCCCTATAACTATGCAGCTGGGCAGAGCAGAAACAAGTACAACTTACACACGACAAGTAAGACAGGTCTAAAAATGTGAAATGCTCTCGTGTAAGTGAGAAACAGTTCGTCATTAAGTAAGTAAGTAAGTAAGTTGACAACAACGCTAATATCAATAGTTGCTATCTCATTTTATAACCCCGCAAGGTTAGTGAGTTTATGAATATGCCCCATAACTCTAAGACAAAGTTATAGAGGAACAGTTTAGACGCGCTTCGGTTCGTTACGAAATTGAACTAGATATATTTGGGTTCAATTGATAGCGCTTTTAAAAAAATTTTACTCACTTGAGTTGAGTCCTCTGCTTTCAGAATATTCAATTCGGAAATAAAATGGGCTCTGTAATTTTTTTTGGGCGATACAAATGGCTTGTCGCAACCCCTATAATCGCTTTGTATAAGTCAATGACTTGTTGTCGAGTATATATACATGGCCTTAAAGAACCTAATATCTCAAAGATTAAAATCTTAATGAAGATCAAACGTGCACACGTTAATAGTTCTACCACCTGTTAAATACCGCAAGTGTGTAATAGAGCGCACTATTGTTCTGGTGATATAAATTTAAGTAGGCGGTGTCTACTTTGAATCTTCGACTGTTTAAGGTTTAGCTAATGTAAAACACGCAGCATCAGCAAGGTTCGTAATACTCAGGTCTTCACATCTAAAGAGCACACTCGGTTGTCGTAAACCGCCTGACGTGAAGCAAGGAAGAAGGCCATGCAAACTGCTTAATCGTTAGACATGATTACTGTATACTTACTTATTCAGAAACAGCGTCATCTATTTTGCTCGGTTTCTGCGCGTTTATCTGCGGACACACTTCACGCTATCTTAACACAAAAAAGCCTATCATCCGCGCAGGCACCGCGCGCTCGTAACGGCACGTTCGCGAATTCTCGACAGTGTAACAAAAGTCGCCACCTCAGCCATTACGTTATCGAACTAGAAATACGTCGAGGATAAACGTCCGCGACCTCAAACGTAAAAGCATAATAAAAGCTCAGGAAAGTCATAGCGCATGGCCGGCTAGCTACGATTTCTCTGTTTAATCACGACTAAAACAGATACTCGTTGAAATATCACAGCAGTCGTACCAGCAGCTCGACAACACACTGGCTTGAACCATCCAGCCGGATCCGTCCTCCAAACACCGCTGAAGGACCGACACTCCAGGTTAAGCTAGGCTATAGGCCAGAAGGACAATTTGGGTAATTTACATTGTTAGGAATAAAACGACACTTGAGACGACCGCACGAGGTGTCCGAATCTAATGACAGCCTTTATAAGGACTCACCGATATATGCGCTAACCTCAGTAATGTCGTTATAGTTGAGCGGTGCGTTATCTGGATGTGTTATATTATACGTCTCATCTTAGGACTAACAGATAACTGCATAAAATGATTCACGTGAGTCCAACACGACTATTTATTAGAGGTCAAGATGGGAACGCGATTCGTTCGACAGGCGGCTCATGGTACAATCGGCCTTCCGTCTTTTGGTCTTGATACTCGTCCTTAGGTAAACAGGCGCATCAGTTCATTACTTATATCTAGTTAATTGTATGCACTTTCCGAAATTGGTAAATGGCACTTAATAATACCAGACGAAAAGCAGTCCGTCACAAGTTGTGCACTAGTGAAGTTCTAAAGTTTGCAGAACTAGCAGATTGCGTGGATATGTAGGCAATTCGGGTACTATACATCACAAGTAGACATGTATCAGTTATAGAGATAATTGAATTTTAGGAAAAAAAAAAAACTACATGAAGCAAATCGGATGGGCGCGCTTGCTACTATTTTATGTATCGATTTATTAAGTAAAAATTAGCATGTGAATAAATTGTGGAAACGAAAATCTATGTTAGTGCAACGTCGCAAGACAATTGTGGCCCATGAACTAGATGATGTTAGGCCAATAAGGTACGTATGCCGTTCAGGCTCGGCTCGTGTTGTGTAATTCTGGCGCGATGTTATCCGCGGCGGCGGCAGTGGTATCGGTAATGGCGGTAATGTTAAGCCAATCGGTAGCTGGCGCTATCGAAAGAAGTTACAGTTGAAGGCTCATCATTACTCTCAACGTTTTGACGACATGCGATCTCATAAGCGCGAAAGAAACTTTAGGGATTTTCACGAGTGATGCCGATCATACGGCGAATAGCAGATGCACAGATTTCGGAATGCCACGTTGTTTTTTTTTTGCATTTGCAGAACACCACTAAATTTTAGTAATTATCCCGATAGTAATTCTAATATCATATCAAGCGGCCAGTTTCGTAAGGCGTCATCTGCAGGTCGAAATTGGAATTTACATAAGCTATGGCGGGTACTTAAGTAAGTCATGAGCAGATTACAACTGCCTGAATTTGGATAGGAGACCAGAAAGTACCCCGCTGCTGTGATACTTATACGTACAGAAAGAAATTCCTAGACCCACGAATAGGTCGTAACGTTATCGATATCTGCTTTTCTTATATGCGTCTGATTAGTTAATGATGGTGAGCATAGAGGGAGAATAATTCAGAGGCACAACACAATGCAACAATACGCAAATCTACCTTCTTTCCAAAAGAGTGCTCAGCTCGTTGTCGCCTTTTCTGCATTCATTCTATCAGTTCCTCAGTGTGGGGATGACAGGAAATATGTCCTGAAGGGGTTATGTCTGTATGGTGCGTAAATGTGTGTTTGTCCATGTGAATGTATATCCATCCCAATGAGAGGGACTGCCAATAGCCACCGTCTTTTTCGTGTCACTTTCCAAACGTAGTCCCGTCTTGCCAGTTTTGCCCTTTGCCCCATTCCTTTTTGAGATATTTGTGGCCCACCGCGACCGTCCAGCCGGTCTTCAGTTGAATGATCTACTCCCACATGGCTAAGGACTCGTTCGCTTCCACCGCGTATGCCAACGACCCGTCCAGTCGCACTCGGGTGTCTGCTCGCTCAGCAACTCCGTAATGACAGCGGGGTTAAATAGGGGTAGCCATTTCGAATGGCATTGTTGGCAACTTAACATGTGTAGGCTCCCATACACGGAAAGTTCACCCTTACCCAATGACAGCCGCACCAAATGGAACATATCCATAGGGCTGTCTAGATAAACCCTCCTACGTGACCCTGTCTGTTTGGTGCATACGGCCTAGTGAATCCCTCTCTTCTTAGGCCGGTCCTGACAGCAGACGGGCAAACCGGCTGGCCAAGCGTAGAGCAAAGTCGTCTCCGTAGCCACACAGAAGGCAACGCGCGGTGCAGCTACAGTTCCCGATTGCATCTGCGCTAAAAGGAGAACGGTGAAACTGGAAATCGCTTCTGAGCAAAAGGGGTCCCAGTATCTCTTTGTTATGCGCTTCGTCTGGGACATCACTTTTAGACCGCATCTCTATCGTCGCTCTCTTCTCGTGCCTGTCGTTTCTTATAAAGGCCGCAGGCCGCAGGCAGCTACAGGGAGTGAAGGAATTGATGCTTGCATGGTGGGGGATAAGCGAACAGTTCCGAAGAAGACGCTCATGCACTGAAAGGGCGCCTTGAGTACTCCGTAAGAGACGTCGCGCCATATGGTCACGACGACAACGACGGCAGCAATCGAAGCGACTGTCGATTTGCGCCCTGATACAACGGGACCACTGAAGAAGCCTGAGGCACTCCATTCCTGGTAGAGCGATTGCTGCTGCTGCTGCATTTTTTTTCGTCTGGATTTTCCACCTTCACTGGGTGTCCCCGGCGAAGGCAAAGCTACGTGCACAATGGTAATGGCAGCTGCGTCGCTTTTGATGATGCCAACAGTTTTTCGCTGCGACAACGGTTATCTGTTTGCGTCGATGGACGGCAGTCGTCGTCGGCATCTGATGTGAACACGAATCACCCACCCTCCATTGCGGCGGAGTAACAACCTGGTCGACAGAGACGACGTCTGCGGAGCTACAGATACAGTTGTAAACGAGAAGGATATGATAAGGCAGGAGTTCTTCACTTCTCGCAAGAACAACAACAATAACAGATGCGAAAGGATAGAAAGAAAACGTGCGGAAGGACATACGCTTTTCTATGCGTCAGTTGGCGAGCAGCTGGGCGATGACATATGTTTACGTCAATGCATCATGTTGCACAGCGCTTGTAAAAGCTGATAATCACTGAACCGGCTCCCGAACGGAGTTGTCGAGGCCAGTGTAACGTAGATGACTAACTGAAGAAGTTAATAGACGGCTAACTTGTTGAAGTTATTCATCTAACCAAAAAACATTGTATGT